TTCTTTACTTAGAAGTTTATGAAAGTAGGTCTGCCACCTCCTCTTAATCTGGTCATCTCCCATCAAAACTTTGCCGTAATCATCTTTTATGCACCTCACTTGGTCCAGATCCCGAGTTGTCCTCTCTCTCGCCTTAGCGAGTCGGAATAACTTCTTCTCCCCACCTACTTTAATACATTTGTTTAATATAGTGGGGGACAAGACATGCAAGTGTGGGAAACAAAACATAATGGGATGAAAAGATTAAAAAGGAATTGATTAAAATATGTGGCCCATACCTGTTTTTGATTATAAATAGAGTCACTTAGAACAGATTGAGGGAATTTTTGGATAGAGTTTAGGCGGATTTTTTAGAGGGATTTTTGGAGAGAGTCTAGGCCGGATTTTTAACATTTAAAAGTTCAGTAATCTGAGAGTAAAAGGGAGGCTGGTTATTTCTGAGATTTCACTGATGTTTTAAGTGGATTTTTTTTTTGAGTTTGTTATTCCTGGTCTGCATTGGTTTGTGTTGATACTGTTTCGTTGAGTGTGCTGGAATCGTGTTGGTTTTCAAATCTGTCACTGGGTGTTCCGTTCGCTGTTTGTTGCTGGTTATTGTTGTTGTTGATGTGTTACATACTACTTTGCTGACCTTCCTCTTCTTGTATTGGCAATACCAGGTACACAACTGTAACTTTGGCATTTGTAAGCTGAAAACATGAAGTTTGAATATACGTGAAGAGTTGAAATTCTGCTTTGGTTTCAATATGACTTGTGTATTTAAATTCTTCAGTCGCTGATGATAGGTAGATCCCTGTTAGTATGTAGTAAGTGGACTGAAACGGAGTTGTATGAGAGTTTTTTTTTATTAAAACATGTTAGCATCTGGTAACTGATTCCTGTAGTTAAAAATGAGCTTGTTGGACTGTTAAATTAATCTGGACCGGGACTGTTTGGATCTTGGAATATGATTATGTAATAGTCGTATTAGTTTAGTTTTGTTTCGTAGTATAATTTGTGAGATTAGAGGCCAGCTGCAAACTGAAACAGGAAAGTGTTTTGGAATTCCCGAATTTCACTTGTATTAAATAAATTGAGCTGAAATTAGTAAGGTGGGTCTAAAATTAGTAAAGAGTAATTAGTTTCGTTTTTGATATTATTGTTCGTCAATTCTGTATTTCTATTTATAATTTCAATTTTTTGGGTAATATTCACTTATAGAATAAGATACGAAATAATATCCCTTTGTACAAGCTCGATTACAATTTCCCATTTGCATTTGTCTTAGACTAATAACTAATAAGTCACGTAATTTGGAGATTTTCTTTTAGAGACAAACTTAATAAAAATGTAGTCACTTTAGGATTGTCCTTTTAAAATAAATGAGATGAGCCTCGCCTAGCAAAACGCACAGATTGCGGGGCCCTCACAAATGTAAGTATTAATTACTTAGAACTCGGGATCGGCCGCTTAGCGAACTTCGCGTCCTTTTACCAAAACAACTGCGCGTTAGTCTCTTTAGGTGCGTACTTTAATAATTTACCTCCTTAAATTCGGGTGCACATTTATGTGACCCAAATCCAAATCTCAATGGAGTCGAAATGTGTCGCTAATCACGGGTACATTGATTGTGACGTGGTTCGAGATGCATGTCCATGACGTTGCAAATTCCTTTAAAAAATAATGAATGAGACGAGTCTCGAAAAACAAGAATACACAAATTGCGGGGCCCTCAACGGATAGTTATTTCGAATGCTTAGATTTCGAGACAGGCCTCATAGCGAACTTTACGGCTTTTCTCAAAATAACAACGCGTTAGTCTGTAGGCGCGTATTTAAAAATGTTATTTTCCTAAACTCGGGTGCACATTTATGTGACCCAAATCCAAATCCCAACGAAGTTGGAACATATCAAAAAATTGCAGGTACATTTATGTGGCGCAATTCGAGATGCATTCTCACGACGTTGCAATTCTTTGAATAAATAATAACAAAGCGGTAAACAGTTAAAATTTGCACTTAGGTTCATAATTGTATAAAATCAGATAATCAAGCCGAATATGACAGTTGAGCGGCCGTGCTAGAACCACGGAACTCGGGAATGCCTAACACCTTCTCCCGGGTTAACAGAATTCCTTATCCGGATTTCTGGTGCGCAGACTGTTAAACAGAGTCATTCTTTTCCTCGATTCGGGATTCAACCGGTGACTTGGGACACAATAAATCTCTCAAGTGGCGACTCTGAAATAAATAAATAAATCCCGTTTCAATTGTCCTTTAATTGGAAAAACTCCCCTCTACGCCCCTTTGTGGGGTGTAGTTGAAAAAGGAGGTGTGACAATGACAACAATTGGAAACAAGGAATATCAACTTCAACAAACTAGCATGATAGAGGCCTAAGTACAAATATAATAAATAAGAAGGAAGCACATGATCTTTACAAGTTAACAAGTAGAGGCATGAATGACTAGCATGGTGGAAGGCTTGTACCAAAGTGCAACAGAATAGATACGACATGAGTGTATTATAAAAGCAGGAAAATAGGCATGATATTTGCGAGTTAAACAGGCAGAAAATATGAGCGATACAACAACAATTGATATAGAGATAAATGACAGAACAATAGCAACAAGTCACATCAGATCTGAGATTGCGACAATAACATCTCGAAGTAAAGACATGAACATATACACTGGAAAACAGATATCACAGTATAATGCAAGTCCCTCTCCTTGCCTGCACGGAAGCACCCGTCGTGCCATGACCTCACAACGATATAAAAGCATATCAATATAAATAAAATGGCACGGCATCACCCTTCATGCTTTACACTCTCAGAACATGGAACGACATCACCCTTCGTGCTTTTACTCTAAAAAATATGACACGGCATCACCATTCATGCTTTACACTCTCCCTCACATGATAATGTATAAACAATAGCACGACATCATCCTTCGTGCTTTACACTCTTCCTTACCATATGTATATCAATGACACACAAGGCAAGAAACATAAATAACATCAAGGAGAGTGTTTTAACGGATGTCACACCCTTTTTTTACAAACTCACTCATCCTCTTAAATAAATAAAAAGGATTTGTAAAGCTCAAAAGGGTTTTTAATTAAAAAGTGACAAAATTGTGTTCAGAAGGAAACAACTCAGAGTCGCCACCTGACATTTGATTTCGGTGTGTCAGGTCACCGTTTTTTCTAAAAATAATAATTTTCCTTTCAAAACACTTTGAACTCTAAAACTAAGTCTACACCAGAGATTAGGGTAAGGGGGTTCATTTGACTCGGGGAGAAGGTGTTAGGCACTCCCCCAGTCCCGTGAAAGTCACGATTGCGTACTCAATCTAGTTGGCTTTAAAATATTCAATTGAGGTAAAAACACAAAACAAAATAAACACACAAGAGGCTAGAGGTCGTCCCTACCTAAGAAAGATAAAATAAATAGAAGAAAATATTAAAGTTCTATTCTACGCTACTTCTTCTACGATGTTCGCCATGGCCTCCAAAATATTTACATAGTTCTTCGGGGCATACCCCGGATAATAATATATACAAACTTTACGGGGCATTCCCCAGATAAATTTAACTACGGGAACGACCTCTCGCCTCAATTAACAAAAATCCTAAGGCTTGCCTACCCATGTATGGTCGGCATAAACATGCTCCTAGCGGACAATGTAATTAAATAAACAAATGAAAGACAACTAAATAAGGTAGAAGAAAATTCTTACTTTAACTTCTTATTTCATGCATTTGGCCAAGCCCAATCCTAAGACATGTGAGCAAATTCATTACTAATGGGCTTTGGTCTCTCCACTTCCCACGACAATACAACCATTCAGCCGAACGTCAGCAAATCAAGCAAGATAAGTATCCAAACTGAAAGAAAAAGAGAAAAAAATACAAATACTAATAGAGGAAATAAAGAGTGTATTCAAGTATGATCAGTGTTATTAATACTCCATTACCTCATCTGTGTATTCTCCCATTATTTTTAACTAAGTGGCTCAAAGCAAAACTCATATCCCATGGTGAAAGGTGTGGACAAACTCAATTAAATAACTAACAAAGCTTTTGATCAGATCCCAGCAAATTCATCAAATAAGCCGCACGAACAATCTCTATGCCATGGTGTCAAATTACATAATTTGGCATGCCAACTAAATACGAACAAAGATCAAACTAATTTCAATAGAAAGACCCATACTGGTTAGGCAATGCTACACTTATACTTTGAATTCTCGCCTCGACACCTCATTAGCTTAATCATGTTAAACTCATCATGGTCACTTTTAGTTCACCTAAGTAACGATCTGCCTATTTGTCAATTTAACAAGACATTGGGGCCCTTAGCTGATCCAAATGTTAGTTAAGAAAGATCACAGAACCTTCACAAGGCATTTCACTAAGTGATTGTCGACAAAATAAAGGAAACAGGAGAAGGACTTCAACTTGAGTTCTCATTTCAAGATATAAAAACTCTCAAACTTTATGACACCAATTATACCTTCTAATGACATTTAAACACGACGAACTTGAAGAATAATGACGCAGGATTCACATCAAAGCAGCCAGACTGCCTTGGCAGGACTTTCATGAACATGAACATTAACTTCTATGGCCTACAAGTAAAGCTAAGTATGTGTCGACTCACGAGTTCAAGAATGAATCAAGCACAAAGTTAACCTAACATCAAGTCATGACTGTAGAAGAAACAGAACCATTAATCCCAATTTAGAATCACTGCCTTTTCAAACTGCCAAAACATGGACACGGTCATACTGTAACACCAAGAAAAGCACACTAATGAGTCGCGATCCGTTTGACAGTAACTCAACCATCTAACTCTTGATCAAAGCATATCAAACCAAACAAACTCAAGTTCAATTACCATTCACAAACTGACGAACCAGTTCGACAAAGATGAATAACCACTAGAGAAAGCTTCGAATCAGTTTCGGGTTAAACTTAGCAGACAAACGAAACAAACTTACAAAACGCAGCCAACGACTCGGTCATCTTAAACTAAACAAATCTGAACTTGAAAGATACTTCAACATATAAAGGAAGCTAAGAACATCCAAAGCATAGAAGGTAAATCATTCAAATTAGATTAACTTAGTACTTGGATCCACATGAAAACAGTAAAGGATGAGGTATGAACCTGAAAACTGGAATTTCGATTATCCTTCGATGTTCGAATGTGGTACAATCAGCAGAAAACTAGGCAACGAGCTTGAAAGGAAAATCAGCTACTGAAATTCGAGACTTAAAAGGAACCACGAGCTGACCTCGAAAGACAACTTCAACTCCACGGCAAACCTCAATCAAACTCCATAGTTGAATTCCGAATCCGAAATAGAAGCGAAGAAAAATAGAATCCTCTTTTACTCACTATATAGTTTTTGCTTTGTGATTTTGAAATGTGATTCAAATGCAAATGGACTGATTCTTCTTTTGTTTTTTTTAATGAACTAAAACAGAAATCTAGAAGGAAAAATCAAAAATTCCAAAGAAGAAATTGATTTTTTTGTTTGTATTTTTCTTGACTTTGAAGCAGAATTAAAACAAGAAGAAACTGATTTTGTTCTTTTTTTATATATATGAAAAACAGAAACTCAAAAAATTAGAAGAGAAAATGTGAAAATCAAAAATTCGAACCCTAAAACTTTTCTTCCAATTTTCTGATTTTTCTCTCCAGGTTTTTCCGATTTTTCGTCTCTTTCTTCAAAATCCCGCGTTTTCTCTCCTTTATAGTTCGAAATCGAACAAATGGAGGGTCTAGATTGACATTCATTCAATTTACGGCCCTCATTGATTCGATTTGAACTTGAAGAGCAAGAAAATGTGTAGAAATGATGAGGTTTTGTACGGAGGTCAAATGTTAAGAAGTCAAACTTGGTCAACTCTTCCAACTTATAGCTCAAATCTTAAAGTTCATTCTTCCAATTCGATTCCGGATAACTTGAAAATCAATTCCGACGATTTATGTAAATCATAATATATCATGCGAAAATACTCAAGCCTTCAAAATACCGAGCGAATTGCAGATACTTAAAACGATCGGTCGGGTCGTTACATTTTACATATACTAAAAAGTTGTTTATGTGGCCGAAAAGCAATTCTGAAGAAGAGAAAAGAAAAACAAGCTCTAACATTTTCAGCTTTTGCAGTCCGCACGTGGAATTTCCAGCTAAAACAAGAGGTGTTTTCAATTTTCTGATTTATTTTTCCTTTTTTTTGGTTTTGAAAACCAAGAGATGATCTGTTGTCAAAAACAAGTGTTCAATTGTCAAAAATAAATATGCTCAAGACATAAATCTTTCGTATTTATCAACTTGCCAGTAATTTATAACTCCTTTCGGTCCATTTTAATTACTTTTTTGGTCTTTTTTTCGTGGTCTCAATATTTAATTTTTTCAAATCAAGAAGGAATGAATTTTTTTTTTTCCAAAGTTGCTTTTAGAGTAAAGAGTCTAGAAGTAGTTTTTCCAATAAAAAAAATTAAGGTTACTATGGTCAATTTAAGTAATTAATGTTAAAAAATGGATTCATTAATACGTATGAAATTAACAGCCAAAAAATTAATTAAAGTGGATAAGAGAGAGTAATTAAGACGTCAAGCAACCAGCTTACTTTATTTAGTAATTCTGATTAATTAAAAGGTTTTTCGTGCACGCTTGTCTAATGTATCGATTAAGGAGAATTTCCGGTTGATATTGGATAATTAACTCAAGAACACATTTCAATATTCATATCAATGATTTGAAGAAGAGTCGGGCTTTAATCATTGGTCGCATGGTTAATTAAATCACGCAATTAATTTTTATGAATCTAGTATGTAAAGCAAGGTGGCAGGACACCCTTGAAACCTTTATGCAGCTGAAATTAGCTAAGTTTGGGAGTTGAATATTAATTTCATTGTGTTATGTACTTTTAGTAACTTTAAAAATTAAATTTGCAAGTCTGCTACTGAAGTAGTTATACCTTTCGTCTATTCATTAAAACTCTGACATTTCTTGTCGTTAATAATTGGATTTGTCTGAAAATCATTCAAAATTAGCAAGCCCTAGTAACAGATTTTTTGGTCGTATCTTACAGGTGAAGTTATCAAACATGGCCACAAGACCAGACTAATGATGACCTCCATACCATACGTATTTAATAAAGAAAAAAAAACACGCATTATCCTACTAAAAACAAATAAATATTAGCCACTCATTTTGTTATAGTTGAACATCGAAACATATATTTGAGGTCGCATAATATATTAACAAGTTTAATTATTGTTTACCCTAAAAATTGAATAACAATTAAACTTATAATTTGGTTTTAAGAATATGTGATTTCACTTAATACCAATTGATAAACGTAAAGATAAGAGATGCAAATTGACAATAATATAAAGCAAACCAGCATTTGGATAGAGCCCTCGAGCTAGTTATCTAAGAACAGTTAAAATGCAACGAGCTGATAAATATGTAAACTAAAGAGAGAATATTATATTGCTTTGATCTATGTGAATGTGTGGTCTACAAATGATGAGGACTCCTCTTTATATAGTAGAGGAGTCCTAATTATGGTATAATTTTAATTTACAAAAGTAAATCCCATGATTAGCCTAAACACCCGCTCTTGATATGATCTGTTCTGGAATTTCCGCCGTGATCTTCGGCCGGTTACGGATATCTTGTCTTTCCGTTATTGCGCTTCGTTCAAAGTATGTCATATATGGTCTCGATCGCTAATGGTCTCGATCTCGACGAGCACCTCGATTCTCGAGCTTGATACTTTATCTTCGTGTTCTGACCTGATCCATTACGAGATCGACCCTTGATGTGATTCCTTGGTCTCAATTAAATGGCAAAATCGGGCAAGCCCTATTTTAGCTGTATATAGATAGTCCCCCCGTTTCTTGGAGTGTAATGAGAAGAAACGAACTGAGCCTTCTATTTTATACCTCAACAAGTTATGACATCACCCTTATGACGTAAGCGACAGAAGCGACCGGGGTCCAAGAGAAATTGTTCTTCTTTTTTAGCAGTGAGAAGAACCTGTGACTTCGATCCGAAGACCTCGAGATGAACCGGCCTAAGGAATTTGTTTTTCTTGGCGACTCTAATGTCTTCGATCGACTTGATTTTCTTGGGGTTGATCTCAATTCCCCGATTTGACACCATGAAGCCGAGGATTTTACCCGAACTGACCCCGGATGCATATTTCTCAGGGTTGAGCTTCATGTTGTATTTTCTCAATATATTGAATATTTCCTACAAATGTGTCAAATGGTCATCTGCGCGCAAGGACTTAACTAGCTTGTCATCAATATAAACCTCCATTGATTTACCTATTTGTTCTTCGAACATTCGATTTACTAGGCGTTGATAAGTAGCACCAACATTTTTTAGTCCAAACGGCATTACATTATAGCAATAAGTACCATACTTAGTAATAAACTAAGTCTTTCCCTGATCCCCCGGGCTCATTTGTATTTGGTTGTACCCGGAGTAGGCATCGAGAAAGCTGAGGATCTCGTGGCCAGCCGTGGCATCGATCATGCGATCGATATTCGCCAAAGGAAAGGAGTCCTTAGGGCATGCTTTGCTTAAGTCTTTGTAGTCTACGCACATTCTAAGTTTATTCTCTTTCTTCGGGACTACAACTACTTTTGCTAACCATTCGGGATAATTTACTTCCCGGGTGGATCCTATTTTGAGAAGTTTGGTTACCTCATCTTTGATGTATGCATGCTTTAACTCGGATTATGGCCTCCTCTTTTGCTTTACCGGTCTGAACCTTAGGTCCAAGCTCAATCGATGAGATGTAATCTCCGGTGGGATCCCTGTCATGTCAAGATGGGAACAAGCAAAACATCCATATTTTTAATAAGGAATTTAATGAGTTTTTCCCTAAGCTCGGGAGTTAACTCCGTGCCCAGGTATACCTTTCGATCAGCAGATGCTCGATCAATATGACTTGTTCCAACTCTTCAACTGTTGACTTTGTGGAATCAGAATCATCGGGGATTACGAAGGTTCGAGGTATCATATAATCATCATCCTCTATAATTTCCTCTTGTCCAAATCTGGTCGAGGCCGACGACTGTGGTTGCTATTTGAATTCCTATTTTCCCTTTGATTCTGGTCCCTTTGTTGATGTTAGTGCCGATACTGGTATTACCTCATCAATTGCAAACATCTCTTTGGCTGTTGGTTGTTCGTTGTACACCATTTTGATTCTTTTTGGTATTGGGAATTTCAAGACTTGATGAAGCGCTGAACGTATTGCCCTCATATTATAGATCCAAGGTCTTCTGAGCAGCGCATTGTACCTCATATCACCTTCGATTACATGGAACTTTGTTTCTGGATAGTTTCAGCCATGTTTACTGGCAAAAAGATTTCCCCTTTGGTGGTTTCACTCGCCATGTTGAAGCCGTAAAGTAGTCGAGTTGCAGGCATGACTTGAACCTGGAGGACGAGTGGCTTTACGATCCTCGATCGAATAATGTTTGCTGAGCTACCTAGATCAACCAACACACGTGTAACTTGAATTTTATTCATAAGGATAGATATTACCAGTGCGTCGTTGTGAGACTGTTCGATCCCTTCTACATCTTCATCGTTGAAAGATAAGGTATCTTCTGGTAAGTAGTCCCAGGTACGCTTCTCCCTTGTGATTGTAACTTTGGTGTGTTTAAATATCAGGCCCTGAGGAATATCGACCCCACCAACGATCATATGAATCACGTGCCGCAATTCTTCCTGTTCGTTTTTCCTGTTTACATCCCAGACTCTGAAATTATTTTTAGCTCGATCACTCGAGGACTCTCGAAGATGACCTTCGTTGAATAAACGAGCTACCTCCTCCCTCAATTGCCTTCAGTCTTTCGGTTTTGTAACCATGGTTCCATTATATTTTTATATTTGATTAGGCTTTCTTTGAGTCGGGTCAGACTGTAGGGGTCTGGGCCATCTAGTATTTTTGATCCATCTAATCGCTGATGTAAGCACGTGATTTTTGCCCTATATGAGAATTACTCCCAAAAAATTCAAAATAAAACAATTTTCCTTTTGTGTGCAATTTTGAGAATTTCGTGGCATTTTTGGATAATTATTTGTATTTGTCTGTGCATGTTTATTTGTGAAATTAATAAAAAAAATACAAAAATATGTCGCATTTGCATTTAGGATTTAATTCTACAATTAGGAACAATTAAGTTTGTTTTACAAAAATGAAAAATCATAAAAAATAACATACGCAACATTTTTAGCATTTAAGGTCCAAATTGTGTGATTTTATCGTTAATTGCTATTTAAATGTGTGATAATTTTTGTTAGGAGTTAATTAGTTTTTAGATAAGTTTGAGTTTTATAATTTAATCTTAGCATTTTTAGCTTTATTAATTAGGAAATTGAATAAATAAAAAAGAACAAAAATAGAAGAAGATCGGATTGGGCCTTTTCTTCAATTTTTAACCACAGACCCAAAGATACCCAACCTTCCCCTACGACCCGGNGTCTTCTTCTTCGTCTAGCAGCCATGAATGACCTCAACAGCCACCATCATTGCTGCTTTTTCTTCTTCCTCCCCCTCACGTCCAAACGACCCCCGGCCACGCCGGAATAACCAGTGTTGTAGCCCTCCAGTCTGTCATTGCTGCTGCTCCATCTCCTCGTCCCAAGCTCCCATGGCTGCCCTCTCATGGCTGAAACCCCAGCTGCCCCGTCGACCACCCTAGCTGCTTCTTCGTCTTCTGCGTCAAGCTCCAGCAGCCACTGCTGCTGCTTCACCCCAACACACACTCACCCAGAGAAGGAACCGAAAAATCTTAAAAACGAGCTCTCATCTCTCTTTCTCGATGGAGAGAACACAGACGTAAGCAGCCATGGGCAAGGAGCTTAACAAAAAAGCTCTAAAAACCAGAAACCATAGCCGGAAACCATAGTTGGAAAGTTATAAGTCTTTTTCTTCGTCGACTAAACTCCATCACCATCGGAAATGGCTGAAAAATGGCGACGGAAGTTTGTTTCATCAGTGGAGTTCGTTTAAAGCTCGTGGAGAGTTCGTTTGAGTTTGTC